CAATAAAACTAACCCCCCCACCCCAACACACACACACAAAAATTAAGGATACCCTTTCTATTTTTCTTGGAAACAATTTCAAATACATCTATATTTTTGTAATGCTGATAAATAAAATTAAAGGTCAAACGACATCAAATTTAGGAGTGCACCTACCAGAACATGCTTTCTCGCATGGCAAACTATATGTTGCATTATCTAGAGGAATATATACGCCAACAAAACAAGTGCAGGTCATGACTGAACAACCAGATTGGTGCACAAGGACATACACAAGAAATACTATCTATAAGAAAGTATTAGGTGAGATTTGATTAATACCAAAAATCTAAGAAATCAAACATGAAAAAACATACACCTACATGTAGCTAATCAAAATTATATTGGACGAATTTTTAGGTTTGGTGCAAGAGGAGACGATATAAAAAATACAAGAAAACTATCACCGAAGACATTAATTTTGTGTGTATAAAGTTATTCAAATACATGGTACACCGAATTTAAAAATAAAAAGGGAACTTATAGTTCATGACACGACATAATTAAGAGGACAAACAATTAATTTGTGCATAATTACTTACTAACAAATTGCCTAATAAGAATTTATAAATAGATTCACCACTAACTTAGTATGACGAGGTGCAATACTAAATACAGATTGATACGTTGAAAGCCTAAAATATACATAAAAGATAAAATATTTTGTGCATAGGGATCTCATAACATAACCTACACGTACAACACACGAACAATGAATCTAGAATATTTTTATACGTGAGAAGCTCCTAACTTAAAAGTTGAATAACCATTCTGTCCTTATTTTTATTTCTAAACTAAATTAAACATTAATATATAAATAATTTAATATTAAATAATAATTTTATTTAAATTCATGCATCTAGACACAATAATTCAAATTCCTTAGAATATTAAATTTTTTGTATCATCGTTTTTATACTCATATAATCATATATATTATTTAAATATTAATTAATAATTATATTATATTATATTATATTATATTATATTATACTAAATACTAAAAATTAAATTACTATAGTACTTCAGACTAAATTAAAATTGAGGTCTCATAGGCATTGTTTCATGTGCTTCCTAGTCACATGGTTGGAATCACAATTGCACAAGTATAAGACCATGTGTATTCCGACCACGTGGCCCTTATCACAATCGTGAGAGTCAAAATTCATAGTTCACCCAATTATAAGTTGGGCACTTTAACTTCCTCTTTGCGATTGGAAAGAGCAATGCCTGGGCATAATTAAGCTTTCCCAAAATTAGGGTTTCTTTTGCATTTTTCCATTTTTTGAACCCTTAGAGCTCGGTGTGGGCGATCTCACAAAGATTTTTTGAGATTTAGCATTTAGGTAAGTGATTTTGACCCTAATCCTTCATTACCCATTATTATTATTCCACAACCTTGACATCAGTTTCTTATTTATTATTTTAAAGGAATAGAAAGTTTCTCTTAAATTTGAGTTGAAGGGTTTGAAGTTTGAAAGTTGATTTCAACCGATGTCTCATAAAAAGTTCTACCAAATCACTTGTTCCTTGGATGAATTAAGTCGTCTCGTAAGTACTTCATACATCTTCCATCTTTAATTCAGTTTTTCAATCGTTGATTCACTTGCAGATTTTCAATTCTATTTTAGTGTAACTATGCACACACACGTGTGCATGCGCGTGCATGTGGCGGGCGGGCGGGCGTGTGTCACATACTTTGGTGTCATGTAAAATTTAATAATTAGCCTTACTCGATAGAAGAAGGTAGCTAACGAGGTAATAAATCCACAAGACCTACTACTCAATCTCTTAGTTAATGTGGGACAATTAACAAAGGTTAAAGTATGCACATGAGTGTACTATCAATTTTGTAGGTCTGTTCCAAGATGTATGAAACTAATTATGTAGGTCTACTTTTGTCTTCGTCATATGATACTGAATTCAAATATATTTTGCATATAGAGGATTCCACCAGTATTTGCAGAGAGACATTGCTAGGACATGTTAAATCCTCTGTTTCTTCAGGCTCCCCATGGAAAAGCATGGGAGGTCGAAGTGGATCATTCTTAAGGACAAATTTGGTTGATGAAAGGATGAAAAAAATTCAGTGACTACTACGCAATAAGCGTCAGACAATTTTGGATCTTTACATAGAATGCTCGTGGTCATTTTGGTGTCTCTATATTTGGTATGAGTACGACAGAAATTGAATATCCAATAGAAAATATTGAATCATATGATTCTATGGATATTTTGGATCATTCTACTGAAAATTTGAGTCATGGCCCCTTAGTTTAAGAAGAGAATAAGAAAAAGACAAGAAGGGAAAGAAGAGAATGGTATTCGAGTGAATCTTCAGACTAATGCTAATGTAATTGAGGAAGAAAAGAAAGATATTTCAGTTAACCTTCAGACTAATGCTAATGTAATTGAGGAAGATATTCCAGTTAACCTTCAAACTAATGCTAACACACTTGAGGAAGATGAGTCTCAAAGTAAGTAATATCTTTAACAGGTTATTGGCTATGAAGTGAATGCATTTAGTAGTAATACATTGCATTTGGATATCTATTTCAAGAAATAACTTAAGGCTCCGAGGAGCATGAGCAAAAATTCAAAATTGGTACCAGTAAGACCAAAACCTTATTAGACTTCTTAAAATAATTAATAGATTGTTTTTAGTGTAGATAGACTTGTATATCAACATAAGATCCTTAATCTTTCCTAAAAACAAGTAGCAACTCCCATGTTTCAATTTATGTCACAAAAAATTCAATAGACACATAGTTTTAAAGTGAAATGAAACCAGTGATTATAAACATGTCATAACATTAATATTTGTGGCCATAAGACTTTTAAAATTTGTGTTCTTAGATATACCGTAACATTTCGGTAGGAATCATATCACTTAAGTTGTTATACTTATATAGCTTGTTGCAGATTAGGAGATCGGAGAAGCTAATCATAGAAGTGAAGAAGTTGGTCCAAAGAATAACAGTCGATACAGCGTGGTGAACTTATCCGGTGAAACTCTGTATATTGAAATTGTTATAAAAAAAGACACACACTACTTATATGGTAGGGATTAATAGTTTGTACATTCTGTTTTTACATTTGCTAGATTTTTCAATCCTTTTACATTAAAATTATTTTCCTAAAAATCTAATGATCGTGTTTGTTTGATAAATATATCTGATAGACTATCCCAATGAGATTCGCCAAAAGGACAAACATAGTCAACATGAAGAGTATGAGATTGGTTAATGAAAAAGGAATAAGATGGGGATTAGAAATAGAGTACACTAAGTGTAGGGCATCATAAAAAGAGGATGGACAGAATTTTGAAAAGATAACAAGATAGCTGCAGGTGAGACTTGCCGCTCAAGTTGATTCAGGGCTGCATGCTAATGTTTTAATGTTTAGAAGATCCCAACACCTCATTCGTTACGATATTATTAGCTACAATTTCTTCGGATTGTATTCTGGCCATTATAGTCCGTCAATGGAAGTTGCTAGGCTGACGTTATATTTGTTTACTTTAAAAAGACAAACAAACGATCAGTATATGTATTTAGATAGATTTCAGCATTAATTGTCTTCTTATAGTTGCAAATATATGTATTCAGGAAAGTATATATATGTAAGCATTTTATTCAGTAAACATTATGAAATGAATTCTTACTTGTTCTTGTCTTTTATATATATTTCTTTAGGTATACATGTATTTGACAAAATATACACTTGTATCTAATTAAGAATTCATAAATTTGATAAAGTAGACATTATTCAGAGTTAAGATTATGGGTGTACTTGGTATGAAGAAAAATATTTTCTTATAAAACAAGTGAATTTTTGACCTATTTTCTCATGTTTCGTTGGTGAATAGAAAATATATTTCGAAAAATTTCTTTCATTTTTAGCTAGAGAACAGAAAATACTTTTTAGAAAAATAATCTGACACTAATACGAACCTTGATAATCGATCTAGGACATGACTCCAAACCTGAACTAGAACACAACCACGACGACCTATTCGAAGCTTGACTCTGAAATCTGACCCAGAACCTAACCCTGAATTCCGATCTGAAACCCAAAATTAGAACTAAAACTAGATATTTGACCCAAGACACGACCCCGACTGAACTTGAACACGATTGACCAATTCAACTTTGACACTCGAATCAAGACCCGACTTTCAAATTAGGACCCAACAACCAACAACGGATGCGAGACTCAAAATTTGATTTTCAAATTGAAATCTCAGACAACTTCCCAACCAGGATCCAAGCACACTTGACTCGAGACCTAACATTCAAAGAAAAGTTTAAAGTTCTTTTGTGTGTAGTTGGGGGGGGGGGAGGGGGAAATAAAAATGGGGGGGGGGGGGGGGGGAGGGGGGAATAAAAATAAAAAATTCTTGGAGGGTGTATTTATTAAAAAATGAAAATTTTAAAATATTTTTTAAAGAAACGTTTAATTTTTTTGGGGTGGGGGGCTGGTGGTTTGGAGTATGTGTGGGTTAAGAAAATGATTTTTCTTTTCCAAAATTTAATTTTGAATTTTTTTGGGGGGTGGGGGGAGGGGGGAGAGTAGGGGTGATCGGAGTTGGACAGGATAAAAAAAAATCTATTTTTTTTAAATTTAATTTTTTTAAAAATAAAATTTTAAATTGTTAAACTTTTTTTGGTTGGAGGAGGGGCTGGTTTCTGGGGCAGGGGGTAAAATCTTTTTAAAAAGAATTTCTTATATTTTCTTTTTTTTTTTTTTTGGAAGGGAAGGTCAGGGTATGGTGTGGAGTAAGAAAAGAAATTGCAGGTGATAGGGGATAATTTTAGAACAGATTCTTCATAGAGGCATTTCATTTTTGAGGGAGGTAAGAATCTGCAAAAATTATTATAAAAATTAGTATATAAGTGGCAATTATAGAAACTGTATGTAAATGAGAGAAGGAACAGGATTATGATATTTTTTTCTTGAGGGGGCTGAAGAGTTGTATACATTTCTCAAAAGTGTATATTTGTTATACAAACTGCAAATCAAATCAAATAGGAACAAAAGTCCTACTCCATGATGAAATAGAACAGTTGGCCATTAGCTCATGGGAGAAAAAAGTCCCACTACAAAGAACAGACCAAATGACAAAAAAAAGGGAAAGAAAGAAACAAGTTGCAAAGTTTTTTACACAGATTGTGGGACCAGCAAAAGCTTATGCAATTGCAGTTCATGGTAGTAATACTACCTAGCTTGCATGTCCTCTTCAGTTTTCCACACTACATCCTCTAGACTAGTCGAAAGATTCTTGTAGAACTGCATCAAGAATGAGCAACAAAATGATTAGCATGAGATCGAACAATTAGCTCGAACTAGTAGGATCTAAAAATCAACGAGGTGCTTGCATTTCCGATAGACAAAACAAAGCAAAAACCTATGCCTTATTGGAAACTATAAAGTAGAAAACAGGTATACAGACACTAGTGTGATCTTTATTAGGCTAAACATCCATTAGTTTCTTCCATCCTCTCTCACTTTCCCATGGTTCTTGGCTTCTTTATATTTTCTGTACTCTTCTTTTATCTGGAGTTGTCCAAGACTCATGGTGAGTCGTCTCTCTAATACGAGGCACACGGGTTTTAATTCCTATTACAGCAATACAAAAATCATGTTGTCCATTGTGACATAAGAGGTTACAAGATGATATCACCGTTCTAAGGCTCTAAAGTGGACCCTGTAACTAAGATCAAACCATCCATGTTTTGAGGGACAATGAATAACAATGTTATGGTCATTTCAAAGAGACGCTATAACTTCTCTCACCTAATCTAAAAACATGCCTACAACCTCTTACTTTTTTGTTGCTATCTTGTGTCGAACAGTAACTTCAAGACTATGTTGCTCATTCACGAGCAATTAGCTTGTATTGGCCTACGAAAACCTACTAATGGTGATCTACACATTTCAGCATCGTCATTTAGATAACTTTTTCGGCAGTTAGCGGAATATGGTACCTTGTGGAATTCCAAAGTATCTCCTTTTGCCTTTCGGACTTCAACCATATGAAGAGAAGGGGCAACTTGAAATACCTACATTCAAGACCAAACAGTGTTCAGGCTATGATGATTAAAGATTCAAATTCCAAAGAACTTATGGCTATCCTCAACACAAACTGCAAAAGGTTAAAGTAAAATAAGATAATTGTAGATGACTAGCTATGCACATTGAGCATACCTCAGTGGCAACATTAAGGTTCCCTTTTCTTCCAGCTTTGACATTTTCAAGTCTCATCTGAAGTAAAAGAGTAGAATGCGAATTAATTTAACTTTATTAGGAATCTACATGCCAATTGAAATGCATACTTGAAATACATCACCACCTTGTAGTTCTTTTTGTGAACATCAAAACCGAGGGGCTTTGCAGCTTCTTCAATCTTACTGATAATTTCATTGGCCGAGCATTTAGATGTGAACCTTGTTTCTCTCTTAAATTCCTGTGAATGTCGGAATCAAAACATCTGTGAATGAAGTAATATTATAGCAATACACAAATCATCAATTTCTCCGACAAGGTGGAATACCAATTTATATTGATTTGAATTGTTGGTGGGAAAAATGGCCATTCGGGAAAAGAGACCAAGTTTTTTGAGTAGAGTAATAAAGAAAGGTCAGTTTTATTCAGACAGGGAGTAAAATGAACTTAGGAATTCATTTTTCTGTAATTAGTCCTTTAACAGTTTTTTCATTTTTTAATTAGTGGATTTGCATCCTCACTCATATGAGATTACTTAGCTGCAAATCAAAAACTGAGAATTCTGAATAATAATCTAAAAGCCTTCTGTAAAATGGATAACGGAATTCAACACACAGGAGAAAGAGATGGAAGTTAGTTTGTGTATGCATGCAATATTGCCGCAGCATTTTGAAGCATCTAGCGCTTATTTAACAGCTAAACTTGATGAATTTAGCAGGTTAGCTCAACTCAGGGCATTTAGGCTCATGTCTGTTAGAAGACGTCTATTATTTTATGTAAATGCGAAGGTACTAGTTTTACTACACATCATAGAATCTTTACTTCTTTCCCATTGTTATTTAGAGTGTTTGGGAATGAACAAAGAATTATTCAATGGTTACCAAGTAAGCATTAAGTCTTTGACATTCACATGAAACTTCATTATAGCATATCCTACTGAGAAGTACAACTATACACTGATGTAATTCATGGCACAAAAACCATGCAAAATCAAACAAAAGTTCCAAAACATGCAACATAAGTAACAAATAAAAATCGAAGTTCATAGTCGGTAACCTGTTCATCGAAGAGATTCCCAAGGTTGAGTCCTTTTGACATTGAAATCAACTCGAATGCATTCATGGGAGTTGGCTGCTCTTCCTTTTTCTCTGTTACATGATGTTCCTGTTGTTGTGTCAAGGAAAAGAGAACCACATGAGGATGACTATACAACAATCAATTCTTTCCTCTGAATTCAATGAAAAACTTGTTCAACATTTCAGTGTGCTCACTTCAGAATCCTTGAAGACAGCTTCAACATCATCCAGGTTGGCATCTCCTTTCTCATTAAAAATGGGAGATTTATAATCTTTCTTGAACCACTCATCCTCCAGAATTTCTGAGATGGTGATACGCTGCATAGGAGACACGTGCAATAATAAAATAAGAGAAAAGATGTTGATTTAGTTGCAAGCTAAAATCCCGCAATTGTATTCAGAAATCCAGTATGCTTACTGTCATAGGGTTCGGATCCAAGATGCGAGTAATTAACTTCATAGCACCAAAAGACATCCAAGGAGGACATGTAAATTCAGCAGCAGAGATCTACAAAGACCGTGATGACATCGTGAAAATAATAGGGAAAACAAAAGCAGATTGATTCCATAATGAATTTGGAAGAATGCTCACTTTTTTATACAGGTTAATAAGATTGGAGTCATCAAAAGGCAAGTAACCTGCAAGCAATACAAAGAGTATGACTCCGCACGACCACAGATCCGCGGTTGTACCATCATATCCATGATCGTTGAGTACCTAAAAGAAATGAATCTCATTTGTTAAACCAAGAGAAAAATAAGATAAGAAGAGTGCACATGACAGGGAGACCTTATTTTTTCTTTGTGAGAAATGAACAAAAAGAACAAGTTGTTGAAACGAAATTCATCATACCTCAGGAGCAACATAGTTGGGAGTTCCACATGTGGTGTGGAGTAAGCCATCATCCTGGAAAATTTCACTAGAGTAAGAAATATATCTGATTCCGAAAAGAATGTCAACTATAAGTCTATAACCTAAGTGAGAGAAATATCTTGCAGGACTACTGCTGTTTGAAACTAGCATGAGTTCTCTAGCTAAAACGGAAAAAGGAAGTCATTGTCCAATAATTTTCGGATCAGTTCAAAGCAAATAACTAGTCAGCAGTCGATCACAAATTTAATGACATTGTCCCAAGCTCCACGCACAGTTGCTTCACAAAGTTAACCAAACTCGAAAACAATATATTCAGTTGAATCTGAATATTCTAATAATAAGATTGAATCAATTCCAAATGATGTTTAAACTAGTTAACAGAAGGAATAAGCACAAACGGATTTCAGTAAAAATTATGCTGGCTTCTTTCTCTAGTGACAATTACTCGATTTGCGTTTTTAGAAACTCCTCTCAGTAGTTTGTCTCTGATATGGCGCTTTCCATGGAGATCTGTGGCTTCAGCTAGGGGGAGGGGGCGGAGTTATGTACCGCATTTCTCAAACAAGAAAATGTACTCAAGGCAATCATAAAGATGTTAAGACTTAAGATATTGATGCACAATCTACTAGTAGGTTACACAATGGAAGATTCACTGCATTAATTTTGACAGCCACAAAGCAAAAGTCATATCAAAGATTGGAGACATATATTAAGAGTTTGAGAATGGATAATCGACAGTTACCCTGACTTGCTGGGACAGAGCACTCAATCCAAAATCAGAAACCTTGAGGTTTCCATTGACATCCAAGAGTAAATTCTCAGGCTGCATAATGAAAGCATGCCATAATAAAGGTAAGACAAAGAAGGGAGGTTTAAGGCAAAACAGAACAGAAATTAACAACTAAAAGGCTGCAAAAGTAGCACTGCCTTACCTTTAAATCTCTATGGTAGACTCCCCTGCTATGACAATAATCAACAGCATTAATAAGCTGCTGAAAGTATTTCCTTGCTTCTTTTTCATGCATCCGTCCATGATTTACCTATATGCCAATAAAACAGATAACATCTTAATGACATGCTAAGTCGTCCGAAAAAAAAGTTCATGCCAAATAGGTTTGAATTGCTTAGGAAGGACACATGAAACCTAAATTTGCAATCAGTGAGATGCAAGGTCATTCTCTTTGGTCAATTTATTTATCTCCTAAGGTAGGGGAACCGAATAAATTAGAAGAAAGGAAGAATCATCCTTACAATTTTGTCAAAGAGCTCTCCGCCTGTAACGAACTCCAGAACAATGAATATCTTTGTCTTGCTAGCCAACACCTGCGGACAGACGAGAAGAGCATGGATTCAGAAGTGTAGCATACGAACCCTGGCCATTACCATTATCCACAGTCACATCTTATCTATAGTAGGTTATTGCAAATATACAAAATATTCAAAACATAAGTTGTTCGATAACAGATTTAATGTACTAGGCAAGCAATTAGTGCATGACATGCCAAAAGGTCTTTAGCAAAATTCGGAACATCTTCTTTCCCCAAATTGGACACTCGCAATTCCAGAAATTTTAACTTGAGTTTTTCTAATTCTTTGATTTTTCAAGATTTTGATAATGTATCTCATATAGATGTTAACTCTCAAAAAATTGGAAAGTACCATGAGTAGATCAAGAAGATTAACTAACTACTCCAGTATATTAGCCAATTCCACTGCAGTTTATGGATACCAGTAATATATCTGCATGTCAATATAGGGTTACGTTACAAGGCCAAAATCTGCCTTTACTCTCATCAACTTCAGTAGGTTAAATGCTGATGTGTTACTGGAATTTTAATTATAAGACTAGATCTATAGAATAAATAACTGAACAAATAATAAGCAGATCAAATTATTAGTAATATGTAAGGCAAGGAACCATCAAAATACAACCAAAGGTTAAAAAAGGTAGGTACTAAAATCTAGCACAAGCATAAATGTTTGTTCAACGAGATAGGCACAGAGAAGCTAGGCTACAGAATACATTTTAATCTTTGCTCCAAAAACCTTGAATGAAGTGGAATCTGCTCAATTGGAAAGGACACATAAAAAACTGAACGAGGCCACATTGATTCTAGCTAATCGCACTAACAAATCAATTACTAGTTTGTTCTGTACAATAGACTTTGTCTTGTCATAAGGTAAGTTATAAATTCTCTGCAGAATGCTTAAGCTTTTATTTATCGGTAGGCAGCTGATCAAATTATCCTTTTGGTAGTGTGAATTAAAGACGTCTTTCTGAAAGATTGTTGAGGTGAAGATTTGAAGTGAGATCCTCAACACATCATTTCTAGAATGGAGGTACCTGCTGGCAACCCATGATGCATAACCAAATGCAAATTAACGGGTCGCTTACTATTTAACCTACAGGTTGGTGGTACGTATATCAGCCTGTACGATCAGTATATACATCCATATGATCAGAAAGGCATACAGAAAACCACAATCACCAGAACTTACATACGCACACACAACACACAAGTACATACACATTGACATACAGAGAGGACAAACCTCGTATAACTGAACGACATGTGGATGTCTAATTAACTTCATTGTAGCTATCTCCCGCTTTATCTGTCAATTTTGAACAAGAGATATAAGATGTTATCATCCCACAAAACAAAAACAACATTCAAGAAACTGACAACAGTATCAGAAAATGAAATGCATAATTCAACAACCATGTAAGATGTCGAAGAGACAGTATTCGTACAGATTCTCGGTAATCTACGTTACCAAAATAATTGGTAACCATAACACCAGAGTCCAGACAAATAGAAAATATATTAAAGTTTCAGAAAGCATGAAGAATGGATGAAGATTGACCTGCTCAGCCATTTTGTGCTTAAGGACCTTATCCTTATCAAGAATCTTGATCGCTACAGCTTCTCCTGTCTCCGAATTCCTCGCAAACTTAACTTTAGCAAATGTTCCCTCACCAATTGTCCTTCCCATTTCATATTTACCAACTCTGCGCTTGATTTTTGCCTGATTCATAACTGAGATACTTGCACAGTCCTTTAAAGAATGCAGGCGTAATCCTTCTTAAAGAACCTTTTACTGCACAATGATTAAAACATCCATAAGACATCTGAGTTCCTGACATAAAATACTAATCTTTATGTTTATTTCATGCACTCACAGAATTCCAAGACCCATCACAAAAAATTATAAAATTGATATTTCAACACAACTTGACTAACTGCACCATCAAAAGAAACCCCAACTTGCAGCTTGACAGTGGAACGAGTGATGGATTTATTCCTGAAGGAAGTTTCCATCATAATCGCTTCTTCCACCAACAACATGCCCAGTCTGGGAAGTGGAGTCTGTAGACAGACCTTACCCCTACCTTAGGAGATCGAGAGGTTGCTTCCAATACACCCTCGGCTCAAGTAAAAGCAGTTCGAAAAAAAGAAAACATAGGGAGAGAGAAGAAGCCAAGACAAAATGTTCAAGAAAGAATACATAAAAGGAGTAGTCACTACAACAAAATACCACAACAATCAAAGTGCTAGAAAGTTAAACAAAAGAGGTCCCTAACAAGAACTTTCGACCTTTCTTACTTCCTTTTGAAATAGGAAAAGTTAGAAGGTATATCTTGGAAGGGACAATAAGGATAACAGAAATGAATAAGAAAAAACACAAGTTTGTTTATTCAGTTCTGCTATTTGTTTAAGGAGGAGGGGGAGAGAATCAAGGCACAAAATCATTTTATTAAAGTGGTCAATTATTATAGTCACACACTTAAAGGAAATGATTAAAGAAGGTAAGACTGATTAAAAAACAAAGCAATGTTGAATCATTCATTGACCAAAAGACATTTGTCTAGGTGTCTGTGTGAGAGAGAGAAAGATCCACTACCTAAACCTTATTACAGTTAACCAGCAACAGATCCCAGCAAAATGCAGCTAGCTAAACTACAGCTTAACTTCTATCACTTCAGGAACTATATTCCAGAAATAAATGTAGAGAGAGAAAGAAAACAAGCTTCAAACCAGAATCAGTGGCATAAAAATACAAACTTTATAAAAATAAAACATAAGCTTCAAAAGGGGCCAAATAGAAACAAGAAAATGGACCCTTTTGAGAATCAAGAAATGTAGAAAAAGGGGTTATCTTGTTTCTATGGAAACCTAAAAAAAAAAAAAGATCTCAAACCAATAAGATTCAAAATCCTAAATTCACTGTTTTTAAGAAAACCCCAAAAGGCAAATTCACTGTTTACAAGAAAACCCCAAAAGGCAAATTCCCCACATACATATCAAAACAACAAGCATATTCGAATATACCAAACAAAATCCAAAATCAAGAAAGGGAAAGAAAAATACATACTTTGAGCTGAAATTTTGAAATGGGGTGTTGGCCAAGATAAAGATAAAGATGAAGTATGAAAGTTGCAGCCTTTGTTGTTTGGGGGTCAAAAAAGATTGATTACAGCAGCTTAGAAATCCTCAAAAATTTGGACAAATATATGGTAAGTTGAAAAGAAGGCAACATCCAAATCTTGAAATTCTAATGTTGCTGTAATAATTGTAAATATTCTCCCAACAACAAAGATAACAACTATAAAAAAATGAAATAGTCTTTTTTTTTTAACCTCTTCCAATGGAATCTCAAGATGGTTTATTTGTACCACAGCCACACAACTATACAAAGATTGTTTTGTAGTAATTGACTACTCCTTTGGACAAAAGAAAGAAAAAAAATGAGTACCTTTTTTATAGATAACTTGAAAAAGAAAATGGATCACTACTTATAAAGTTAAAAAAAAAATTATATAAGGTAAAACTTTAAAGGCATAATGTCCTATAGCTCGAATTCAAATTTTGGATGTGCACAAACAAACACTTTAACTTGTATAAAATTAAATAAATAGACACACATGTCATAGATGTCATTTTTTGTCTTACGTGTATTGTGTCATGTAGGACTCATTTGCTTATTTATTTAAAAATTGGATAGTTAAAGTACCTATTTCTGCATTATGAAAGTTGGAGGTCAAAGTAAAAATTCGAAGCCAAGTTTAAGGTCCTTCATTTGACAACGAATGATCTAGTTTGACTTGGTACGGAGTTTAAGAGTATAAAGAAGATTTTTTAATCTTGTGATCCTAAATTAAAGTTAGGTCAAATGTACAAAATTGCACTTTGATCTTGTGGTCTTAAACATGTCACGTGAAAAGTTGTTACCAAAAAACAAAAGGTCATTCTTTTTTAAACATTCTAAAAAGAAAAGGATGTTATTCTTTCAAAAACGGAATATACTATTTATATTTTATAGTCAACTCATATTTTGAAATTGTCAATTTTCGATACAGGTTCAAATTTAGTCCAATTTCAATACTAATATCAAACAATAGAAAATTTAAAAAAAAATTATCTGTAAAACATAGTTATGTTTCTTTTAAGACACACACAATTATACATATTTTCCTTTCAAAAAATACTTCAGAAAGTGTTATTCTCACCTAGTTGACATGTTACGTGATTAAGATACTTTTTGACATCGTCGTTGGGAGACTAGAAATACTTATTTTTAAGAAAAGAAATATTTTTATTGAAAAATTGAGTGTTTGACAAATTAGTAAAAATGTTTTTAAATAGAAGAAAAAGCAATTTTTTCTCTGGTTGAAAAGAAGCTAAGATTTCCTATTTTTTTTAATTTAAAAAAACAGCAGAAATTAAAAAATATTTTTCTCAAGACTAAATTATCATTTTCATGTATATATTTACCAATATATTTTTTATTAATTAATTAGCATAACTCATAAGTTTAGTTAAAATTCATTAATAATTTCATTTTTTATTTTAATATAATAAATTTTATAATATACTTTACATTTATATATTATTATTTTACGTATAATTTTGTGCAATTAAAAAAAGCGCAACAATACTTTTGATTAGAAAAAAGAAAGACAACTAAAATTTCAGTCTGTTAAAAATGTATAAAATTGATTGAACTAAATTTAATTAATTTTTATAATAGATAATCGAAATAGTTTCTCTCTAAAAAAGAATTTTAATATTAAGAGTACATCACTAGTTTTCCTTTTAATAATTTGACTCTCTAAAACTTTTTTATTAAAAAAAAAATATCAGCCAAATGCCATGTCAAACACAAAATGTTTTTTTCAAAAACACTTCTAAAAAGTCGTTTTAAAAAAATATTTTTATAAATAAATAGTTTTAACAGCAATGCCAGACATCCACTAAAGTAAAGACTCATTTTCTCAACCATAAACCTACTTAATTCATCAAATTCATCACATTAAAATTTTTATGGAATTAAATATATATATATATATATATATATATATATATATATATATATATATATATATATATATATATATATATATATAATGCAGATCATCTAATTTTCTACGAATTATTCTACCAACAAATTTGATGAAAAATTCTCTGTAGGTAAATATTTCCTCAATATTTTAATTCGCATATAGATTATATGTGAATTTTAGTGCAATATATATTTTATTAAAAAAATTTAGTAAGATGATTGAATTTTGTCGTCGATTTTTTGCAAGTAATTGCACATAAATAATTAACTCTTGTAAGGTTAATATTGGCCCAAAAAAAAAAGTTGTACAAAGAGAAATTTATTATTTTTCTTTTTTTCTACTATTTTAGAAGCACGAGTTTAATAACTGGCATTGACATGTCTGCTTCTTGATATTTCAATTCAAATTCAGGTTAGTTTTGACATTAATTTCAATTATCTATTGTCTTAATTGTAGCAATTTAATGACCACCTCATTAATTTGGTGCATTAATCATCTTATTGGTTTCAAGAGCTACTATATACACATTACTACAAACATTTTTATTCCGATAAATATTCCCTCCGTTCTTTTTAAATAGTTATAATTTATACTTTTAGAATCAAACTATAAGAATTTTGATTGACATTTTAATATGTATTTTTTCATCAAATTGATATGCGAAAAATTACAATTTATAGTATTTTTCATATAGATTTTTGAATATCTAATTTTTTTGTTTAAAATATCAAATTAATATAATCTAATTTAACTTAAAAGTTAATCTAATTAATTTTTGAAAAACGCAACATGATAAATTAAAATAAACGGAGAGAGTATTTTTCATATATAGTGTGGATTGCAAATATTATGAAGTAGTTATCATTGTCTGTATGTTTAGAAAATGTGGTTCAGGAGAATATATGTGAAGCAATTCGATACCTTCGAATTTGGTAACCATATTTGCACTAACGATTACTTTCTTCGTCCGGTGTTGTTTGTCACGATTTTTATTTTTTGAGTCAAATTATAAAAAATTTGACTAATATTTTAAAATGTATTTTTTTTTCATTATATTAATATGCAAAAAATTATAATTTATAGTATTTTTCATATAGTTTTAGAATATCTAATTTTTTTTGCTTAAAATATCAAATTAATATGATCCACTTTACCTTTAAAAATTAGTCAAATTGACTTTCGATAAACGCAACATGACAAATAATTTCAGACAGAAAGAGTAATTATGAATTCTTTTTCAAGTTCCAACTATATATTTTTAATGTTAAAATGTAAATATTATGAAGCATATATGTGGTCCCCTCTATCATTTTTACCGAACAAAGTTGATGCGTTTATTTGTTCAGTCATTTTAATATCTAAACAAAAGTAATGATTTCTTTTTATAATGTCGACTTTTAAAATGTTGGGCCCGTGCTAGTACGGGTGAGTACCATCTAATTTTAAGAAAATTATGACTAGATCAACTTTAGAAGCTTCACATTTTTGCTTATTTTTCCTTTTTATATACACAATGTTCCATTCATCCAAATATTTAAAATTAATTTGCATATTAGAGATAAGATAAGAATGCTTAATATATTAATAAGGATGATTCGTGAGGTATTTGAATCATGTAATATGTTAAGTTTTAAAGTCAAACCAGTTCTGAAGCAAAAGTCATCGCAAATTATTTTCATGAATTCTTTGAAATTTGGATTAGATATTTTGAAGCTTTTCTTTCAAATTATAAAGCACTACAGAATCTACTATCTCTTGAATCGAGGATATACGAGTCTAGTTTTTGACTCACTAAATCATTTATCTATACAACTACATTGATATATTAACATTTTGTGAAAATACACTAACATATACGTGAAGCAAGTCTCAGATCGATGGAGGCTCATAAAACTAACTGAAAATTTATTTACTTTTCTACTTTTGTTTTTGTCATATTTTTTATTGAAAGCTAGAAAATCCAAAATTTCAAACATGAAATCATCTATATTTCTTAATGTTTTTGACCTAAAATTCTTATATTCCTACAATTTAAATAGATATGAATAGAAATTCTCTTTTTATAGTTGTGAAAGTCATAATTGGTTGTTTAAATCTTATTTTTTTTAAATTGCATTTACTTTTTTGTTCTTTTATAAAGTGTATTAATGAATGTGTAAAATTGTGCAAAGTTGAAGCCACCTCAACTATTACATCCCACTTGCGATGGTTTGGTAGCTAAATAAAAGAAAAGTTATTTATGTATCATTAATTTTTAAATAATTTATATGATATTTGGTAATTAAATAGAAATTAAATATTATATTTGATTGACACTTTAATAATTA